TTCAAGAAAGGAAGTTTAAACCCGTATTTTTGTGTCCTTTTTATAGTAGATTTTTACCTTAATTGTTTTCTATTTCTATTATGTTTGTATTAGGTTTATTTGCCTTTAAATACCTTTCTAGTTTTCGTTGTAAAGCAGAGAAGATTATTGTTGAATGAAAATTGCTCATACGTAAGTGTTTTGAGTTCTTGAGTGTGTCTCGAGAATTTACCTATTGTCTTTAGCTTCGAGTGGATTCCGTAGCTAATTTCAAGACCCTTGTTCAAGCTATTTTGTGGAGGATTCCAGAATCGTTTAGCAAGTTCTCTTATCAATCGAGTAATCACCTTGATTGTGGCGTGAATTCTACTTTTCCATCATCTATCGTTCGAGTGTTCTTGTCTGCGTATTCTGATTAAAAACAAAGCACCCCCTGGTGCTTTATCAAGAGTGCCCTTGTACTTGCCAGTAAGGAATGTGTCATCCACTTGCATCACAGGAACACAAAAGGGAAAACCATCAATAGATTACTTGAATGATCAAAAAGTTGTTGTTACCGAGCTCGACGACTGGATTTCTTCATTTTGGTAGCGGTGGGAGAAAATAGTGCCAGGGTTAGATGCCTCTAATGCCAAAATCAATTTGGGAAGGTACACATATGATTCTTCCCATTCGCCAAACTCGGCGGCCACGAATTTCTGCTTTCCATGCCACGCCTTCTTATAGTTAATAATATATCCATAACGACTAGAAATGTTGGCGATGATGGCTTTCACTTTCAGGTCAGGCTGTTGCTCAATTAGATGCTTGATAGCCGCGACAACCACCATGGATTTCAACTGTCGATGACCTTGGGATGTTATGGATGACACACATGTGTGAGTGTTCACCGCACGGGATATGACCCAATGGCCGACTCTCTTGCTCTTAATGGTTTGTAGTCTGTACCCTAGCCTTGCATCCCTCGTGTTGATTCTGGCATCTAACTATGAGTTTCCTCATGTCAGAATGACTTGTGTGTCATTCAAAACTCCGAGTCATTGCTTCAATGTTAACAACGTGTCGCACTTCCTTCTTCGTACCAAATTGTTGGCCCTTCATAAACCTAGTGAGTGTACCCCATATTGGCACTTTTGGCGGCTCCATGTCGGCATCAACATACCAATTTTCGTTTGGAATGTGATTATAGTGCGTGATAGGTACATGGTCACGAGACACCTCATCATCATCTGAGTCTGAATCTGGGCCTGAATCATCAGCACCTTCAAGAGGGTCGAAGTTGTTTAGACTGATATCGCCTTTCTCTTCTTCATCCTCAGGGTCACTAACTGGACCTGACAGGGCATCTTCCATCTGATTCAGATCATGAAAGGCATCTTTATCAGCTCAGTAATGGTAATTGTGTAACTACCACTGCCTACATGGAAGTCGTACTCGGGTTGGTACTGGTAGCCTTCTTGTTGGTTGCCATGGTACCGTTGGGCTTCTTCTTCATATGATGGGAATGAGATGACCTACACCTCTTTCTTGGTACTCCTGGTAGGAATGAGGATCATGGTAACCTTGGTAGGGATGATCTTTATATAATGCACCCCCACCGTGGATACCAGATATTTGGCTATCTCCAGAATGACCTCCACCGCCTTCGACCGCCTCGCTGTAAGCAAACATCTCTGCTTTGAAAATGTTCTTGGCATTCAAAAATTCGAGCATGGCATCAACTTTCTCGTAAGTGGTTATGAGCAATTTTTCATGCCACAATGACCCGCCTTGTCTGTTTGGTATCGATACACCATACAATTAACTCTCCTTGTGACTTCCATGCAAGTAACCATAGTACACATTTGATGGAGCTCTTCAAGATTCGGTCTCGTAGAGACCTTCACTTTCTGAAAATGACCACTGACGTAACATACCCCATTTCTTGTCTTTTCCGTGTAACCATTCCACCGTAACCCAAGCGTGAACTTTTAGAATGTCATCTGTAATAAAATCGTAATTTAATTAATAACATAAAATTTGTGAATAAGCATTTCAAAATCACAATATGATAGTAATACAAAACAAACTTACGAAGTAACGTTAATCTCAAAAACTCAAAAAAGTACAAAAGCAAAACAGAATCGATAAGAAGAATAAGGAGATGTGGTGAAGTTCTGAGGTTTCCAGTACAACATTTTATAGGCAAAATGTCAATTGAAAACCGTTGAGGGGGTGGTGGTTTTCAATTGACATGCAAACCACATGCTTGAAACTCCTGCATGCCGACATGTCGGCTGTGGGGGAGATGGGGGCGACACACAAACCGCTGTAAGGAAGTGGTTTGTGTGTTGGTAATTAAAACCGCCGAGGATAGCGGCGGTTCCTAAATCCGGCCTAAAACTACTTGTTGAGCAGGCGATCTGTGTTAGGTCAGCCATGCAACCGCTTTTTTTACGTGCGGTTTTGTGGCGGGAACGAAAACCGCCTCCTCACCCAGCATTTCATATGAATACTGCTTCCCCATGTGGCGATTTTCATGAAATGGTGGTATTTCTGAATTTTTTTCAAATTGTTTGTATTTTTTAAATTTTATGGTTTAATAATGATCTTTCTAAAAAAAAATCCCGATTTTTTTAGTAGAAAACAAGAAAAGTGAAAGCAGCGAAAACAAAACTCATAGGGGTGGTTTGGATGCAGGTTTGTGGTGAGTAATTTGTGAGGGATTTTAAAACAATCCCTTATTATGCAGGATTTTAAAACAATCCTACGTTTGGGAAAGATGCAGAATTTTGTAATTAGTGATTTCAAAAACTCTCATTTGTGGGTTTTTGAAATAGCTGATAGCAATCAGCTATTTCACAATCTCTCGTTTTTATTTTGTCATTTCCAAATGTTGCCCCTCACCTTCGTTCTTCTTCCTTCATCTTTTTTTCTTCTTCCACCTCTATCCCAAGGCATCCGCCGACGATGTCGACTTAGCTTCTACCTTCCGAAGAGCTTCCATCTCTCACCTGGTCACATCCCCTTCCTCTCCCACTCTATTGCGTCGCCGGAGATTCGGGTTTACGATGTGGAGCCAATGTCAATTCTAGGTTTGAACCCCAAATCGACCGCCAATGGGGGACCCTCTGCTTCTGGGTACCATGGTGGCAAGCCAAGGCACACCTCGATGAGTTGCGGCGGCGGCGGAGAGTTCCTTGGCGCCGTTCTCTTTCTCAATCGCCTAAGACTTTCGCGTTGCTGCTATCGGAATCTTGTGGAGGAAGCGGAACAGTGAGCGCTTGAACTTCTATTGGCAGCAGAATCTGCGATTTTTCGCTCACAAGGTGTGGAAACTGGGAAACGCAGGGATCCCTGCTCCACTCAATTCCCTACACCACTCAATCCCCTCTCTTAACCACTTGTTGGTTTAATGTTCCTCTGTGTGGCATCTTAATTGCATCCATGCTCTGATTCTCAACGAGGGGATCTCACTGCAGTCTGCTGTTGTGACAAAAGTGGCTGCCTTGGCTTGCTTCTGGGTTAACGAATCAGAGAAGGAGAGGAAGAGGATAGGTAGAGATGAGGGTAAAATTGTAATTTGATATTTCTTATTAAAATCCTATGTTCGTATCCAAACAAGTGATTTATTAAAATTCCTCGGGTTAATTGCATGGTTGGTCACTGAAATTACAAAAAACGTTCATGTTTGGTCACTATAAATATTTAAATCCAATCTTGGCCACTCAAATTAGTTAAATGGTTCAAGTTTGGTCACTCTCCGTCCAACTCCGTTAAATTTGTCTGATGTGGTAGTCAACCCTCAAAGTTGACCGTTAACTCAGTGACGTGACAATTAAAAAATAATAAATAAAATAAATTTTAATCTTCTACCATTTCCAACTCATTTTCACATTAAAATAAAATACATAAATAAAAAATATTATAATTACAAATAAAGGGCGCTTCCTCCCCCTCTCTCTTCAACAACTCCATCAACTCCTCCCTCCCGCGCGCTGCCATCGCCGACGAGCTGCCATGGAAAGAACGGAAGCTGGCGACGACGAGGGAAAATTCAGTGAACCTGGCGCCGCTCGATAATAACTCTCCGCTCTTAGCCCCAACTCGTAGACCCTCTTCCCAAATAATGCTCGGAGATCAAACGTCCCCTCCCGGCGATACCGTCTCCGCTCCTTCAGAAACCGGATCCAGTCTGTCTTCGCCGCCGCCACACCCGCCTCCTCCTTCATTCGATCCGAGTCGAAGTAAACTCCCCTTCCCTTTCCGTAATTGAGTTCCATTTTCCCCCCAATTTTGCCAGCTAGGGTTTCCTTCCCCGTTTCGCTTCAGGCAGCACAGCGACTGTTCTTCGCTTTTCCCGTCCGGCAGTGATCGGTATAATCAAGAGGAAGGCTTTGATAAAAGAGCTGGCGGCTGTCTACCACGCTTAGTCCCTCGCTTATTCCGGTTGAGAAGTGTAAGTTTGTTTTGAGTTTTTCATATGATTTGTCGAGGTGGGTTGCGACGGTTGTTGCGATTTTGGGTTTTGATTGGGTGAGCTTCTTCAGTTTTCTTCAATTGCCTTTGCTTCATTGCAGAGTTTGACTTTCCGGTTGTTTTCCCTTCATGTGATATTTGGTGGGGGGAAGATAATGTTGTCGAGAGTGGAGAATGGGAAAAAGACTAGGGAGGAAGCAGGGGATGAGACTTTGTTGAATGATTTGCAAACTATAAGTAAAGCTCTGTACGTTGACAAACATAAACCCTCGAGGACGTTACTTCCTACGGCCAGTAGCCGAGCAAAAGCAACTGGGAAGCCGCCGGGAGGGAGGAGTTTATGGAGTTGTTGAGGAGGGAGAGGGAGGAAGCGCCCCTTTATTTGTAATTATAATATTTTTTGTTTTATTTATTTTACTTTAATGTGAAAATGAGTTGGAAATGGTAGAAAATTAAAATTTATTTTATTTATTATTTTTTAATTGCCACGTCACTGAGTTAACGGTCGACTTTGAGGGTTGACTGCCACATCAGACAAATTTAACGGAGTTGGACGGAGAGTGACCAAACTTGAACCATTTAACTAATTTGAGTGACCAAGATTGGATTTAAATATTTACAGTGACCAAACATGAACGTTTTTTGTAATCTCGGTGACCAACCATGCAATTAACCCAAAATTCCTCATATTAAAAACTCAGGTTTTTAAACCGTGGGATTGTGTATAAAATCCCAAGTTTTAGAAAACTCTCATCCAAACGACCCCATAAAAAGAGGGAACAGAGCTAGAAACTCCAGAAAAGAAAATAGAAAAGAAACAAGAAGACTTCCGGTCCGGACTTCACCACCGCCCCGGAAGTTCCAATGCTGCGTGGCGAATAGATTTTCCCACGGAAATCCGACGACGACGACGGCCCATTCCTGAGCTCCGCAGTTGATTGCTGAAAGCTCCTTCCTTTCTATTATCTGCTTTCCCTTTTCGTTTCTTCCAGAGCTCGATTCGGGTGGAGGAAAAAGCAAAATGTTGCAGCAGACATCTGGAGGAGGGGGCGGGGGGTCAATAATGGCGCTGAACGTGTTCAAGTTCTGCACTTTCCTGCGCGCCCTCGGTTCCATTATGATCTTCTTGGTGTTGGGCGTCATCGGGTTGACCTATTATGTTATCGTCGTTCAGAATTACGGCCCAGCTCTGTTCAATGGCGGGGTCGATTCGTTTGTTGCTTTCCTCGTGTTGCTTCTCTTCCATGCTTTCGTAAGCAGTTCCCACTTTCCTTTTTATTCTTTCTTTATTGCTGAGATTCCGAATTGCTCTGTGGTCTCGGATTAGCTTAGCTGTTGGAATTGATTTTGATACCTAAATGATGGTTTGAACCTGTTCAAGCTAGGATGAGATGAGATGGTAAGTTAGGTTAGGGAACTGATGTTCTGTGGACTTCGATCAAGAAGTTTGGAATCGTTAGCTATTCGTGATGAATGTGAAAGAGTTCAATTCGTAGACTGTAGAATTGGGATCTACATTTCCCATCTAAGCAAAGAAACCAGAACTCTAGTGGAAATCGTGGTGAGGGCTTATCCAACTATTGCTCTATTCCGGTCTAGTATTTTGTTATTTGCTGCTTCCTTAGGTTTTTTAACCGACCCTGCAAAGGCTTGGGCTCGTTGGTGGTTGTAGCATGGAGTGAATTAGTTTGAATCAGATCAACATAATGAGCACTTCTTCGAAGCCAGAGACATCTCATTAGTATTGTTTATACATTGATGGCAACATGAAGTGTGTAGAGTAGCCCTAAATCTGGTCCAAGGCTTCACATTCTCAACTATTAAGTTGCAGTATGACCAAGGGATACTCAAGAGCTCCTCTTGTTAGAATTTCAAGCTTTTGATAATACTGTTGGATTTTGGGCCAAATGAAGTATAATACATAGCACGCTGAGACTCTGTCAGTTGGATTTCATTGTGTAGTTGGTGATGCTTGTATGGAGCTACTTTTCCACTATTCTGACGGATCCTGGTGGTGTCCCGCAAACTTGGAGGCCAACAACAGATGAGGAGGAGGGTGGTATTGTGGACCCATTGGTGGATACAGCGGCTGGTTTAGGTATAAACAGGGATGAAACGCAGAAAACACGATTCTGTCGGAAGTGCAACCAGTTTAAACCACCTCGTTCCCACCACTGCTCGGTTTGTGAGTTTCTTTTTCGTTTCACTAACCTAAATCTTTCGGCATGAGCCTTAATTCTTTTCCTTCTAATAAAGCTATCCATTATTCGTCTCTTGGGTAGGCCGAAGATGCATATTAAAGATGGACCACCACTGTGTTTGGGTCGTTAATTGTGTTGGGGCACTGAACTACAAGTATTTCCTTCTTTTTTTGGTAAAGGCTTTTCCATGTCACATTGCTTCATTACCTTGTTATTTCACTTCCTGATACTTCAGATTCCTTTTGGGTGGAAAGAAATTTAAGAGGCCTTTAGTTATGTCTATTTCCTGTTGCAGTTCTACACATTTCTTGAAACAGCCCTTGTCACTGTATCGTTGCTTCATCTGTTCATAGCGTTTTTTGGGGATGGTGAAATAGATGGAACGGCAGGGGATCTCGTGGCTACTTTTATTGCATTTGGTAAGAGTCGAAGTGGGTTATCGTTCTTGATAAAAAAAATGTTATCGTTCTTTGTTTGGCCAATTTATGTTGTGTACCTAAGTTCTTAACAGTTATTCATTTTTGCTATGAAACAGTTTTGAATTTGTCATTTGCATTGAGTCTCCTGGGCTTTGTTATTTTGCACATATCATTGGTGTTAGCCAATACCACGACCATCGAGGTGATGCCTTCTGTTTTTTTTCCTTGTTTTCTCAATGAATGAGTTTGCGCCTTCTCTTATATGCATTTCACTTCAACATCTATCTTGAAATTTGAAACTGATATCCAATGTCATTTTTCTCTTTCTAACTCGTTTTATAGGCTTATGAAAAGAAAACTGATCCCAGATGGCGTTATGACCTTGGTCGAATGAGGAACTTTGAACAGGTTCGTTGTTTGTTACCTTTACATCCTTCATTCCCTAATTTGCACTTCAATATCCTTCACATTTTCAAATTTATCCATGTTCTTGTCAGGCGATGACATTCTCATAGGCATAATTGCAGTGAAGAGATTTGCTCACTTGGCTGTATTTGATTTGAACCCTTCATGGATCTAGAACCCAGATTTAGTACTCAAACTTGTTTCAGCCGTTGCATTTTGCATCATTAACTTCTCTGCATCACTTGCATTCCTAGCATATTCATGTTTCTACATCTCAGCACGGTACATTGGTTGGCTTCTGGAACCAAGGTTACTATCAAAACAAGACACAGGTTACTACTATGATAATTTGTTTAGCTCAAGATGATGTCCAGGGATCATTGATTTGCATTAGAGCACCAAGATCCACCGGATTAACTGGGTTTTTTCCTGTATCAGGTATTCGGCACTGACAAGAGATACTGGCTAATCCCGGCATATACAGCTGACGATTTAAGGCATATGCCAGCACTGCATGGGTTGGAGTACCCAATCAGACCCAACTTGGGTGAGCTTCAGGAGCTCTGATGACTGCCGCAGTTGGGGCAAAAAGACAAAATCAACTACTAAACTCTGCATCACGCCTGACATTACATCTTCTCCCGGGTCAACCTGGAAGCGAAACTGAAGGGGAAGCAATACCAACCAGGATCATAGCAGCACTTGACCCAGCTCCCGACGTTGGACAAATATCTCTGACTGACTTGTGTGGTGAAGTTCATGCTGTCTTTATTAACGTGTGCAACAACCTTGTAATTTTTGTAAATACTTGGAGTGGAAGAAAACCGTGTAACATTAGGCCTGGTTTCTTTCCTTTTTAGAGCTCTAGGTGAAGGTCACGATTTTACAGTTATAATTTCGGTGTGATAGCTGGCAACTGGTGCAAATGTGTGATAATTTTTCTATCCTGAGTCCTTGTGTTTATCCAAAAACGTTGACCAATTTTGTTCCGTAAGTTCTAAATTGGTCGAATTGCATAATGGTCAACTACTGGCATCGATCAAAGCCTAAAGCTCAGTCACCTCTCCTGCATAATGATTATGTCTCAGAATTGAGAGCATCACCAGTAATTCATATCAAATTGTGGAATCAAATTCAATTTGTGACGATCACAAGTAGAAAGTTCATTCTTCGGTTATTGATAAGCAATTAGTTGGAACACTCAAAGTTGAAGAAGCGGAACTACTTGGCACTCATTCATGGCAGGATGCTAGTACAAGCCTACCAAAATAGATGTAGAACACTGCTGGACCAAAAGACAACCAGAAAAGAGCATACTTTTCTACTTCACATCTTGCAAGTCTGAAAGGGAAAGCATACATTGGAAAAATATACTTGAATTTCTTCCCCCGTGTCCCATTATCCATATCAAAAGAAGAAAAAACCTTTTCCAGAAGTCGGTTTACCCTAGAAAGAACGATGACACTGCTACTACAACCATTTACATCAAGCAAATTTTTGGGTAACTAAGAACAAGTCAATCTTGAACTATATATGAACCATTGTTCAGCTTCCCTCGCCATCCATCCCTCTCACTTCTTCATAGTCTCCCAGCAACGATGCTGCTGATCAGCTGCCGTGATTTAAGCAAGATACCTAAACAGGTTCGCGTTCTCCTTGTCCCTCTCCAAGTAGTCTCGAGCAATCAAGTCTTCCATCCGCTTCTTGATAGCTTTGATGTCCGGCTGCAGATAGACACCCCAATTCAGAAAACAATATCATACAGCAAGAACAGAGACGCAAGGCTTAATAAGTGCCACCATGCTTCGAGTGGTGATACTGAATCAGCCCTCTGTTGTATTTTGTATTGTATAGAGGGTGTTTATTAACATTACCTTGAACATGCGGCTGAGCTGCTCCACGCACTCCGAGACCAACTGCTGATGACCCAGAACCTTCCTGCTCTTCATTATGCGCACAATTGCTGCATCTATTGCATATCGCCTGTCCTTGTCGACATCTTCAACAACCTTCTTCCTTTCATCCACAACTGGAAGTGGAATCTGCAAAGTCAAACAGTGTTCTTCCATAAGCTATGTTTGTTCCCCTAAACATGGAAAATGCATCTGGAAGTGCAATAGTGAATACCACAGCAATTCCTTTTTTGAGGTGGTTGAAGTTGAGAGCATAAAGCAAGTGAAAATACCTTGATCCTCCTCATTCTGTCGGTGAACTTGGGGTTGAACTCAAAGATGTCATTCGGAGAAACGGTCTTTGAAATTGGTTCCTTAATAAGGATTTTGTATTTGGCACATGACAGAGAATGCAGCAATCTCACTAAGTCTTCATGACCCAAATTCGACTGAGTCATAATCTCAGAGTAGCTGAGTCTGTCTGAGGTGTTAAACAGTAGAAGTATGGCAGCCTGCAGAAATAATGAAGTAAATTATGTGTTCTGGCAACATTTCTGCAACTTCCAACACTTCCAATTAGACATTCAGAGTACCTGATAAGTAGAGACAACCATCTCAATTTTTTTGGCTTCAAAGTTGCCAATAAGTTGACAAGAACCAAGGGAGTAAATCCATGTTAGCTTCCTATGCTTACTTTTAGTGTCATAGAACTCCTTGAACACTTGAACACCCCTAACCTATAATGCAACAAGAGAGAATCAATAACATGCAGGAGGGACCTCAGTTACTATACACTACATTAAGTGGGGAAAACACCACATTACCATCTCCGAAGGAAGGTTCAAATCAGAAGATTTGTAGCTTGGCCAGAATCCAGTTGTAAGAACATTGACTGACAAGTCAATACCAGGATGGGCATTTGGGTTATTAGAAAGATAGTTCTCGAACTCATTCTGATTATCCTTTGCCAGTGTCAAATCAGTGACCTAAAAGTAAGAGGATATCAATCAAAATATGCAAAGGGGACGATATTCATGGGGCAATGCAGAATTAACTTCGCATGGACAATTACCATTCCTTCCATCTTTGAAGTGAATTGTCCACCACATTGCTGCTTAAGCTTTGTCAGAATGCTCTTCTCATGCTCCTCATTAGCACTACGTTCAAAGAGCAGGCGACGGGCAAGCTTTTTCCTACCATAATTAACAATAGGACTATTAAGTATGACTGATGCAGAGGAACTGGGATGGCAAATAAACTATCTATTAAGAAATAATCAGCAAGAGAAATTATAATAATAACTCGCTAAAACTTTATCCATAAATAAATACCTGTAGAATTCAGCAAACAAGTCCTTATCACTAATATATGCAAGCAGCTTGACAACCTGAAAATTTTACTTGGTTTATTAGCCACAAAACATTACCACAGAATATGAAGCAAATTAATTCGAGTGCCAACAAAACTAGGCTAACCTTCTCCAATATGTCCTCAATAGCTTCATCGCTAAGTTTCTCGCTACCTCCTTTCTTGAGGATGTTATCACAGAATGTTGCCAAAAGTTCAGCACTAGGACTTCCACCAACAGTTTTGTTGCAGAAGATTTCAAAAGCCTCTTTCATGGCCTATTAACCAGGTAAAAACAATAAATTAAAGGGTGGGGCAGCTAAGATGCAGCAATATGACAGAGACGCATTCACACTTGGATGGATCACTAACCTTGTGAAACAGCGTATGGTTCTGGAAACAATCGCTCACATAAGCTAGATACTTATCATGGAGCTCAATCACCTTCCTTATCAGTACCTGGGAATCAAAGAATAGAAATCAGCAAAAGAGTTGAGAAAAAAGAAAGGTGGGCACACAACTGGAGATATTTACCTGTTCTTGGACAACACCACTTGTGGACTGCAGAAGACACAATGCATCAACACAAATTTCAGATCAGACAAATGAAATTTGAAGAGTATAAGATTTGAAACTAAATCTTAAGGTACTAATCCCTTTTAGAAATGTGTATTAAATAAATTACAACAAAGTAAGGAGAAAAGATAACATTGGGTTAAAAATAATCAAAGCTAAGAATGACCTGGTTACTCGCAGCATCTTCAGCCTGCTGTACCAGTAGCATTCCTTCAGCAGTAATGTGCTGTGAAAAATACATAATCAGTACCAGGGTAAAGAGGGCCTCTCAGCAAGATGACAATAACATTCAATAGCCAACCTGCTTGAATATGGTCGCAACAGGATCTAGGCCTTTAGGTATCTTATGATAAAGCCTATACATCCGAGAAAGGTCATCCACCTTGTCATCCCTAAGCAAAGCACGGCACCCAGAATTCTCCTTCTCAAGCAACTGAGTGGAGAAGTTCACTAGCAGTTCATGTTGTACTTTCTGCATCAGAAGCAACAACTTTGAACATACTGTACCAACAAGTGCTGAATTCATGGCGTTTTAATAATACTTAGCCAGTGCATTGATTTAGCAATACGAAGTAAAAAAAATAATCCCCCTAAAAATAGTTTGATATTGAACTAACCTCCACTAATTTTGCCTCGCTGCTAGAGTGCAGGTAATGTGCAACTCTGTCTCTTTCCTTCTTCAAGCATTCCTCAGACTGCAATCCAACATTTCCTTGTTATAACAGGATTAATTGTAGAAACGACTTGTAATGTCCCAAAACGCGAACTTATACCTTCAACATGTATGCTGGGCAAGAGTCATCCAGAATCCAGCTTGAAGCCTTGTGGCTGTAGTACACACCTGTATCTTCGAGCATAGGAGCCTCAAAATCTTGCTCATAGCAATCCATCTGCCCCATTCCAATCTCAACAAAAATGTCCAAGACATTCTTCAACAGAGCTTTGTCAATTTGCTCTCCCTCGCGCTCCTTATCAATCTGGATCAGGATACAAAAAGTGTCAAAATTCTGTCGAAAGAACTGAGTAACAGAAAGCGAGTCACGAGCGTGATTAACTCACAAGAACAATGACAGCATTTCTTGCTTTGGCACTTATTTCGGTGTAGACCTGAATTAAGGAAATTTAATTAGAGTATAAACATAAAAAAACATGTTGGAAAAGTAAAGCCTGATCACTATAAAGAAAGCCTATAGTATAGATTAGTAATAGACAAACCAGAGATCGGAAGCAGGTAAGGCCAACTTCATTAAGTGCTGGAAGTGACCTCCGAGCAATGAAGTAACGATCAAGATAATGGAAGAACCGAGACAGCCACCTAACCATAAGTTTATGATTGCCCCATCTTTTCACAAGTTCCCTCAGCATAAACTCGTCATGCTTCTCCCTGATAGCTGGCAGTACCTAACAAACAGACGAGAAAGTATCACATCCCTCCCCCAAAATCACCTCACCTTACATCTTCATGAAGGAAGCAAGCCATACATAATGAGCGTGTCAAAAGATCCAACAACAGAACCAAACATAGTACTCACAGTGGAACTAATGTACTCTTCAAACGAATCCTTATACTTATCATAAAGCTGCTGAGAGTAGTCATGAGGTGGCTTCTGTGTACACATGTTGTAGATAGTTCTGTGCCATTGAATTGGGTATTAGACAGTGCAAAGAGTACATGCTTTTTATTAAAAGGTGCATTTGAATAAACAAGGAAACCCTACGTGTAAAGCATCATATATTCCTCGGAGTTGAATTGCTCAACCGATCCCTCCAGAATCCTCTTCAGTTTCGTGATCCCCTTCTGCATGTAGTCCCATCCCTGGTCCAGTTCAATCACCTTACGCTCCATTGTAAGGCCTAACTTCTGCCAATGAAAACATGGAACCAAAAGGAATCAAAACCCTAACTATACCATATCAATAAATACAAACCAAGAACAGTGCCCAAATACATCAGCTTAGCATCGTTCAATCACGAATGGGTAGTCATGAAGAAACCGATCATATATGCAGGAAGAGAAGCCAGCGGACTAACAGATTGAATCGAAAACCCCCCAAAATCCAGTCGAAACGAACCAAATTCAGAAGAATACACAATCCACCAGTGAGTTGGGAGAGAAACCCTAGAATCCCAAAACTAAGCAGTAATCGATGTAACAATTTGAAAGTACAGATTCCACAAACTCGAAAACGCGAAGATGTAATTGCAGCGAAGTGAAAACACGAAGCAGTAGCAAGTACTCCG